GAGTTTAATCCCCGGTACCAATAAATAAATAAATAAATAAATAAATAAATAAGCAAGCAGCATTTTAGAATTCTCAGCTGCCAATATGTGAAAAAGGAGCCCACAGAATTTAGTTTTATGTTGACTGGATAGACTTGAGAGTGGCCGCATTTAATGATTAATTATGTATTTTTGAAAAAACATGTACATATTTGCTGTGTCGTCTGTGGCCCATGTGTTCTTAGGTCTGGGCCTCCTGGTGCCCCGTCAGCTGGCTTCTGGCTGGGCTGGGCCAACAGGAGGCTCTGGAAAAGAGCTCAGCTATAGGAAGCTATGAGTATTTCTCCCACCTGCCTCTGCCAACAGCTCTGGTGATGGCTGGGTCTGCCTATGGCTCCAGCTTTGGGAGACAGGTCCGCCCTGTTTCCCGCATCCTCTGTTGGCCCATTATCCTAGCACTCCAATTACACTTGGCTGCATGAAGGTGTTGTGTTAGGGGTAGTGGAGGAAAAGGAAGCCACAAAGGTAATGGGCTAGACCACCAAAAGCATGAAGATTCCACTAAGCATTTGGACCATACTCGTTTGATGACTGAGAACAGTGAAGTAGGAATTAGGCAGAGGGGAGTACATGAGCAGATTGATCCCTTACTACAGTCACAGTCCAGTGTCTCAGAGGAGACACCGGAGGTAGAGGAAGCTGCTGGCCATGGGTTAGAAGCTCTGCTTGGCAGAGTGGTATTTGATTGGAGGCCTGAATAAAGGATGGGAAAATCAAGATGCATTAAGGAGTAGAATGTGTGGAACTTGTTGAATTATTTGGATGTTTTTAGAGTTGTCATCAAATGATGGTCAGAACATGCGTGCATGGTTAGGCTAAGATTTTCCCAAGTTGGGCTCACCCTGTCTCCTTGGAGATCTCATCCACATTTCTGGGTTGTTTATACTGTCTCATGCTCTGGATGTATTTTACGTTCCAAACAAATTATGGTTGCAGTGCTGCTCATATTTTACAAGCAAGCCAAATACAGGATAACTTTTGAAAACCATTCACTACTCCCATTCACCATCCTCCACCCCTGAAACCCTTTTCAGGGCCATGATCTGCCCAGTTTCTCTCTACTGGTCATGAAAATTGTCAAACACCCACCATGTATTTATCTCACCTCCTACTTCTGTCTGTCCCAGATTTCTCATCTGGTGAAATAATTGACCTCCTAGTTGATAAATCATTTTGTGAGCACCATGTCGAGTCTAGCAATAGAATATCCTCTGCTTATTGAGAAAACCTACAGGGCCACCCCCTACCAAGCCCTCCACAAGCCAGAGACCATGTACCCGATTTTCAGAAAGTCAGAAAGCACACAGTGCCTGCGCCCTGGAAGATCAGCATCTGGAAACAGACTGGAGAGGTGCAATGTGGCAAGAAGTAAAACATGACTTGATGTGAGATGCTGTCCTGGAGTTTTGGCTAGGTGATGTTAGTAGGCTTGAAATCTAAAAGTAATACACTTTATTCTGTGAAGATGCAATGGTCAAGAGCCTGGGTTGTGGAGTCTGACTTCCTTAACAGTAGAAGAAAGTGTGTCACCTGAGCCATTCTTAATCTCTGTGCTTCCCTCCATTATCTGTAAGATGAAGACCGTAGTCGTTTCTACCCTGATTGCTAGGAAGACTAAATGACAACTGTATGCGGTGTGCAGCGCGTGCCTCCTGACAGTAGGTACAGCTGCTGATCATACCTAGGGCCGAAGGGATTGTTCTAAAGGTTTAAAACGATGTGTGTGATTACCAAGCATCTGTGTTCTCATTGCACATGAGAACTGTTATGGCTAACCCTGTGATCCTTTGTAGTCACTTAAGTTAATTATGAAGAAAACCCTGGTGCATATAGGTGTTCTTCAGGACAAGTTAGTGTTTTGAGTTTTCAGGTTACCCCTTTGATCACATCGAACCTCAAATATGTAACACACAGTTGTACTTAGAGAACTTCCAGAAGTTTAGAGGCCAGCAAGTAGGAAGTAACACTTTAAAGGGTCATCTCTGCCTCTCTGACCTTCCACAAATATGCATCACCTCCCCTCGCATTTGAGTTCAACACCCCCTGAATTGAGCACCGCGCTTTTTCAGATTCTGTGTAGGCTGGAGGGATACAAGGATAAACAAATAGTTCCCGTCCTCATGAGGCTTATAATCATATAGAAATATATGTGAACAGTTCAGTGCACTGTGACACAAGCACAAAGGGAAGTGCGTAGGTCACAGGGGTACACAGGAAGGAGAGGACTGGAGGCTTCAGAGGCAACGTCCCAGTAAGATTCCGAAGGAAACAAGGCTAGGAGATCAGACCGCAGGTCTGTACAGGAGGACTGGACCATAGGTGTGTGGAGGGACATACGAAGTGAGGTTGAGGATGCTGGGAAGGGAAAGATCATGTAAGAGCTTGGCCTCTACCCCGGGCCTTTGAGGACCACTGAAGCACTTTGAGCAACAAATGCCACAAGATCCATTTTTAGCAGGGTCATCCTGCTGTGGAAGATTGAAAACTGTGTCGGAGATGCTGGCACGTTTGTGTCACCACTGCAGAGTCACTGAGGGCAGGGGCAGGGTCCTCTGCATCCCTGGATCTCTAATGTTTAATGTCACAGACATTCAAGAAATGTTTTGGAGCAAAGACGGTCTGAATTGAATTTTCCAGCTCTGCGTCCTCTCCTCAGAACATGCTGACCTGGACCTCCATCTGTCAGAAGCAGCTTGACTCGGATCATAATAAATTCTCTTTTCTTGGCATTCTTTTAACTGGCATTCTGTTTACTAGCCTCTCCGTGCAACTGTGCTGGGCTGGTGATTGATGCTTATAATTCTGACCCTGAGGTACCTCAAGCCTGCTAAATCATCAGAAAAAGATTTAAGTATATTCAGTATTGCCCTAATGTTTGTGTGTTTTACTGCATTCTTATTATTTGGTAACTGATGGTTTATCGGATGCCTGTGTACTTGGGCATGGTGAGACTCTGATCACCCACAGCTCCAAACCCCCTCAGGTGCCAGGCACAGGCCGTTTATTGTGCATGCCTGAAAATAAAGTGACTGGAGTTCTCTTCAGGCCCCGAAGGAGGAAGCAGGTAGGCCCCAAAGGGGCAGACTGAGCCCAAATGAGAGTGAAAGTAGTGGTTAGAAAAATGGTGGGAATGAGAAGGCAGAATTGGAGCAGACCAGGGGGTGGACAGTGTGCAACCCCTGACACAGCCCAGCCCACCGGAAGAGCACAGCTTGGGCCAGGCCCCCAGATCCATGCTGGATTGGGGTGCTGTGACCCCGATTGCCAGGCTAAGACTTGGCAGGATTCTCCACCAGCTATATTTGTATTGCAGTAACTATCATTCAGTAAAATGCCAAACATTAGCAAGTGAAAACATCAATAATGAGAGCGTCCTGTTCCCACGCACATCTCTTTTTGAAAATCATTTTGGCTGTGGAGCTGACAAGATTATTAGGCCCAGAGTGAAGGACTCAGAATAGAAGCTCAGCGATGGCTCCGTTTGAAACCTGGGTTCCGACAGGGAAGAATGGTAATGTTATCACCAGGGGTAGATTTGTTTGGGTTTCTTTTGGGGGTTGTATATTGCAGTAAATAAAGAGTCCTCTTACATTTTGGCATCTAGTTTATTCTTTAAATCTGTGTCTCATCGGTCAGATTGCATCATCCCTGCCCGGAGAGCTCGTCTCCGAAGCACAGAGATTCTGCTTGTCCCCGGGGGCGTGTGTGGGTGTCAGAACTAGCCTTATCACTGGCCACCCTGGGCAAGTCTCTTTGTCTCTCTGGCTCTTAGGGTTTCTTTTACTGAAATATTGACATAATACTAACTTCTTCATAGGGTTGGTATAGAAGGCTGAACTAGAATAGTGAAAGCGAAATGTGCTTCCCTGGAAAGCCTTATCGATATAAGTAGTAGATAAAAATGCTAATATATATGTCATATGTGTGATATTATATATGAATGTTAAATATGCTAAGAACATCAAAAATATTGTAATGAAATAGAGAAATGTATTTTACCCATAAGTACAACATCCTCACAAGTCTCCCCGAAGCAGAATGGGGAGAAGAGCTATGTATTGAGTCCCTGCAATAGGACAGGTATTCTAGACTTTCTCTGCTCTGTTCCATCCACTTTATTCTGCGAGGTAGGTATGAACCCCGTCTTACGGAGATGAGGAAACTGACCCTCTTTTGCCTCTGGCATGTGAGCTGTCCTTGTTTAGCTAGCTCCTGACTCACAGAGGTACCCAATTGCTCACGACCCTTAGGGCTGGGCCATTTCCTCGTGTCTCTTGATCCTTCACGCCTGAAGTGGAGCAGCGAGATCCACAGGGGACTCTGGAACAGCACAAGCGGGTCAGGAATGTGGCTCCGGCAGCCAGTCACAGCCCCATTAGGAGGTGGGCAGTCCTGGACTGAACATTGAGGGTGACTGTGCCACGTCTCCAGGTCTTGAAGAAGTGGCCATGTCCCTGTGGTTCTCAGAAGTTCAGTTGTGTTCTGTTAGTGATGCCGCCACTGTCAGCCTCGTGGGTGCCACCTGCCCCTGACCATTGTCAGGCGGTTTGTCAAGCTGCTGCGTGTGGGATGCCTGTCTCAGGAGCCCTGTCCTCGCATGCCGCCTCTGCTCCTTGATCTGCGTGCACGGGGAGTGAGCACAGGTCTACACCATGTAGTTACCACTCTACAGAAGCCTTTCTGGGACTCTTCCTAACTTTGATGCCGGCTATTGGGGTGAAGGGTCCCCAGTGTGGCAGCTTATTCGGTGCCCAGTGGGACCCACTGCCGCATGCTTGTCCCTTTTTATATCACTTTCCTGGTTCACAGACAAACAGCCGGGGAGCCAGAGCTGCCCACACAGAGAAACTGAGGTATTGCCTGCTGAAGGGCCAGCTGCATACTGGGGAGGCTGTTGGTGTGGGAGAAGCAGTTGTTTGGCCCGAGGTCCTGAAAGGAGCTTTCGTGTGGCGTTTCCATAGGTTCTCAACAGGCGGTGTGTGGAAGCGGCAGTGATGACAGGCCTGGCACTGAACTGCCACATCAATAAGAAGTCCTTGTTCGACAGAAAGCACTACTTCTATGCAGACCTTCCTGTGAGTGTGCATTGTGGTCACCCCCGGAAGTCTCCAGAGCTGGGAAGCCCTGCCCGGGGGATTGGAGGGAGGGGCAGGGCCGTGCCTCTGCTGTTTTCTATCCATGCTGCCCATCTCAGCAGGAAGCTCTGCCTGGCCCTCATGAAGGCGGTGCCCCCTGATGTTTGCTAGATTGGATGCAATTGTCCTGATTGCTGACTCCTTGCTTAGTCTCATGCTTCTGGTGGCTCCGTCATAACTGAACGGGGACTCTGAAAAACCAGTGTTGTTAGGCTCAAGCCAGCCATGGAGTCTGGTGCTAATTGCCTGTTAGGACAAAGGCTAAGCCTGTGACTGATGGACAGCTACTGCCCACTGTTGATCTATAGACACTGGGGGAGCGTCTCTCGTTAAAGCCAAAGTTCTCTATAGGAGCTATCTGCTTTAGAGACATCCCTGTCTTCTCCCAAGGAGCAAGTAAGTGGACAGCAGTAAGCAGAAACATGAACCTGAAATAGGCACGAACAGCAGTAATTGGCTGAGCAGTAGGCTTAATATTTGCCTGCTTTTTTCTTAAAACTAGAAAGTTTTTTTTCTTTAAGAGGTGCCGGTGTGAATGAGAGACAGTTTTTCATAATATTGAGTTGGAACAAAACTGAAATGTTGAATGGATTTCCCAAAATAATGTGTCATTTGATCTAAGCCTCTAATAGTAAGTGTGACTCCTTTAGATTTAGAAAAACACGAGTGATAATGTTCATTTGCCTCACTTCATTTGCCTTGAACAAAAGAGACTGAGGGGAGCTGAGTTTTAGTGGGTAAGGGCAGGAACAAATAAAAAAATAGGAGTAGGACCCTAATTCTCCAATTGCAGCTTCTTTCCCCCTCCAGCTACTAGCCTTCCAGCAAGTTCTGCTCTGTAGGTTGAAAAGAATTAAAGTGCTTTTCTTCATCTCCTTTGTTGTTATTTTTCAGTGTTGTGGATCAACACAGGGTCTTGTGCTTGGTAGGCAAGTACTCTACCACTGAGCTACATCCTCAGTTCCCATTTCTTTTATCTTTTAAGAGTGATAACCAGTTTCGTTAAGGTGGGAACATTAGCAGTGTGACAAAAGTGATTATTTTATTTCTGGCCTTCTTTCTGACACATATAATTCAGATAATCTGCAGCTGGTGTTGCCAGATATTACATGGGATGTCCATATACTAAAAAAGTAGTGGTTTGCTTATCTGAAGTTTAAATTTAACAGGGTGTCCTGTATTTTATCTGGCAACCCTATCCAAAGTTTATGAGGTGTGATTGAAAAATACTGTCAGCGTTTAAATTTAAAAACATATTTCAGTAAAAGATACAGTGCCATTAGTTCTTCTCAAAATACTAGCCTTTGCTTCTCACACACTTATCCCATGGTTCTTGCCACTTTCTGAAGCAGTTCTGGAAGTCCCCTTTTATGAGTGTCTTTAGTTGCTGTCCATGGCTGCCTTGTCATGATCATGTCCTGATTCAATTCAAAACATTTACCTTTCACGGTCATTTTGGCTTTGGGGAAGAGCCGGAAGTCACACAGTGCCAGACACAGTGAATAAGGTGGATGAGGACCCGTCATAATGTTTTTACAAGCCTGCCTTTCTATTGGATGGTACGCAGCAACCATATTCAGCGTATTTTGATCACACTTCATAAGGACACTCACAAAAAAGGCTTTCAGAACTGCTTCCGAAAGTGGTAAGAATGATGGGGTAAGTGTGTTTGAAGTGAGAGGGAATATTTTAAGGGGAATCTATGGCATGGCATCTTACTGTAATAGACTTTTGAAAATTAAAGCATTCACCGTATATTTTGATCACACCTCATAGTTTTGCAGATCGAGACTTGCTCGCTCAGTGTAGAAAATGAGTTGGCCTCCGCAGGGTTCTCAGAGTGTGGTCCCAAGGTATCGTTGCCAGCATCTCCTGGGACTTCATTAGAAATATAATTCTCAGGCCCCACCCCAGACCTACTGAGTTAGAAATCCTTGAGGTGGCACTAAGCACACCGCTTTGACAGGCCAGTCCACTGGCATTTCTGGTGGCAGTAACGTTTTAAAACCACTGGCTCGCCTGGGGATGAGGAACCCGGATTCTGGAGCCAGAGCATCTGAGTAGACATGCTGACGCAGAGACTGCCTAGTCTTCGGGTGGCTCTGGGTGTGGCCATGGCCCTTCTGTGCTTGTACTGCTTCCCCTGGCTCTTGTGGGATTACACATGAGTGTGGCATACCGGGAACTGTGTCCGGGCCCTGAGCAGATGCTGCTGGTGACTTAGCTTTTGTCCTATATTCTGCAAGTCTCTGCATTGACCTGCTGCTGTCTCCTCAGTGTGTGCTGGTGCATACATGCATTTAAAATGAATTCTTCTTCCCACTTAGAAGGAGGCACAGCCCTGGCAGCATCCACCAGCATGGTAGCGCCGAGTGTGAGCATCGCAGCAGTTTCTGGCTAGAGTAACAAGGGAAGCTGGGTCAGCGAGGGCACCCGGCATGACTGGTTGGCTGGAAGAGCAGAGCCGAACATGCTTAACCACACTGGCAACTGCAGTCGGCTGTGTTGAGAGGAGATGGGAAAGTGCTTAGCTGCCGTTTCCTAATGAGGAAGGTCTGTCAGGAGCCCAGTAATAAGATGCAGAATGCAGGCTAATGAGCTCAATGAAAACAATCAATTCTTCTCTTAGGGGCTCCTGACAGTGAGATTATTGTTATTCTCAAAAATGGCACTTTTGTAAGGAAGATGGGATTCGTGTTGCTAATTGCATCGTTATTGGGGGTGAAGGACTTGGGGGAAGGTAAGGGGGTCATGGGAAGAGCCAGAAGCAGTGTCTTTAAATGATGGCAGCAGTGCATAAACTAGTTTTTCTTCTTGTATTCTTGTTTTGTTTTTGTTCCAAGTAAGCCTTCGGTTGGTTGTGTGACAGTAAAAGGAACCATACACTGGAGCCCATCTTCTGGTTCAGGCTTGTGACTAACTCATGTCCCCTTGCGTGCAGGCGGGGTACCAGATCACCCAGCAGAGGCTCCCCATAGCTACCCATGGGAGCTTGACGTACAGAGTCTCTGTGGGGACTAAGCGGAGTCACATGGCCACCAAGACAGTGAGGATCAAGCAGATCCAGTTGGAGCAAGACAGTGGCAAAAGCCTCCACGACGGCCTGAGGTCCCAGACACTCATTGACCTGAACAGGGCAGGTAGGCTTGGAGTACTTTCATTGCTTCTCCCTCTAGCCCCCTCAGTTCTTGGATTTTAGGCACCTCTCTTCCTCTCTAGGGCTTTCCCAAACCAACTGAAAGCAGACCCAGGAGTCTGACAGAAGATCAAAATATCTGTTAGTATTGGCAGAGCCCGTGAGAGCGCATGGCTTGGGCTCTGATCACTGCTGGGCTGGCCAGTGACTCACCCCTCAGGTCAGACAGCCTTTGCCACCTGGTCACAGACCCGATAGCTGGGTGTTTTAAGTAAACACTAAAACAAATGAACCAAAGTTAAGAATCCAAAAGGAGAGAGAGAGAGAGAGAGAGAGAGAGAGAGAGAGAGAGAGAGAGAGAGAGAGAGAGAAATGATGTCAAGGCTAGAACCACCTTGAGAGTCCTTCAGTAATTTAGGCTTTTCCTAGGGTTTTATCTGCTGATGACACTGGCAGGCCCCAATCAGGTGGATTCTGCTTCTTTGTGGTAGGAGTTGGCCTTTTGGAAGTGGTCCTGGAGCCTGAGCTGTCCTGTGGAGAAGAGGCAGCCACGGTCATCAGGGAGCTGCAGCTGATACTTCAAGCCCTGGGGACCAGCCAGGCAAACATGGCAGGTAGAAGCCACAGAGGAGTGGCCCTCCCTTGGTACTTTCTCCCTTTCTACTCCCTAGGTCTCTTTGGACCTGACTTTTACTCTCTACCATCTGTTATATTGAAGTTGTTTACATCTATTTTTATCCTTTTCCACTCCAGCTTTTTATTTTCTTCTTCAGAATTTTTCTTGGCTTCCTTTCTGAGCCCCAAACCAAATATAAACCCTAACAACACTGCAGATACACTGAACCCCAGAATGTGAGGTATCTAAGACCCTAGATACCTTCCCTCAGTTTATGTCGAAACTGTGGGGATTCAAAATAATGTGTTTGAACACTAATCTTTCTCAGAAGGCACTATTCTTCAAGAGTGGTTCTTAGTTTGTGAGTTCTGTATAACAGATAGCTAGTTGCTACCTTTGAAATACCTGTTTCTTTTCTTTCTTTTGAAAAATTCTCATCCATGAAATGTGAACTATCCTGATTTGGCTATTACCCCTATATACAAGTATCAAGTTATCATATGTACCCCATACATTTATACAGTTAAAATGATCATTAAAAATAGAACTTTCATCCATGTGCAGCTGGAGCCAAATTATATTGGCCACAAGCCAAAATTATGATTACATAAATTTCATTCTGAGATCAAATCTTAAATTCAGTAGCTATAAAGTAGGAAACTGAAACCAAAGAAACACTTGTACTCTTGGAAGCCAAGCAGATTAAACGTTTTAAATATTTGTAGATTGTATGTAAAATCACGAGTTTGGTCAAGTTCATTGTCTTTGGGCTTTGCTTCCTTGGTCCTTGTCCAGAGCTCTTTTGACCTCAAGCCCATAAAAGTTAATGTCTCCCATGGTCTTTGCTTATTTTCTGTTCTCCCAGCCTTTTAAAAAATGTCCGCCATCCTTGCAGCACACAGGTTATGAATTTACAGTTGTGTGTTCCATGGCACACGTAGCAGAGAGGTCGCCGTGGGTGCTGGTGGGTCCCACTGATGGAGGTGATCATCTTCCTGCCCACTCATAGTACCATGGACACTCTTACCATGTCACATCTGCATTTGCATGTTACAGAGGGTCTTCTGACTTGGTGATGCCACATTTGTCATTTGTACAGTGTCTTACAAGCAACAATTATAACATCACACACCTGGTGCAAGTTGAATGGGAAGACAGAACTTGCTTATTTGCTATTTTCTTCTTTAAAGACTGAAAAAAGCCATACAAGTTTGAGTGACATAAAGGTTAGCTGCCTACAAGTTTCCTGCATAGAAATGAGACTGTTAGAGAAAGAGAATTCTCCATTTTCCATTTATCACTCATGCTGCTTTTTAAGCACAGAACATAAATGAAATATAGACAGGTTGGACGGTTATCAATGCACTAAGCATTGATTCTCTATCGCTTTAAAAGTTTTTATTATTCCATTCTTATTCAGAATCACTGTGATTCCTGCAAACCCTGTGGAATAATAAACAAGCCACCTGTTAGCTGAGAAATAGTCCCATCTGGGTCCTTGCCAAGAGATAAACCATGATGGCAAGAACTCATGAGTCAGTGACGGCTGAGAGTGTTCATTAAATCTCATTTGTTGTGACACTTTTTGTTTCTCTTAAACACAAATCCAGCAGCTTTGCTTCCAGCACATAGCCGAGTGGTTCTGGTTGTTGTGCAGTGCAGGGGAGTTGAGCACTCCCTGAGTCTACAGGAGTCAGCTTCTCCATGCTGTTCGTATTTTATCAGCCCGACTCCGTTGCTTATCCTTCTTCCCACCACCATGGGACCGCTGTGTCGTCACTGGAGACCACAGCCTGGGAACTGAGGTCACTAAGGAGTGGCTGGGTGGACCCGGTGCTTTTGCAGTCCAGCGTAAATTGTTCTGTGCTGTGATTTGTTGAGTTCCCAGTAGGTTTGCTAATGAGCATGGACCAGCTGAGCCCAGGTTCCAAGTCATTTCCTCCTCGGTGGACAGCATTTTGCCACTGTTGAGGTCCTCAAAGTGGTGTGTTGCGCTGAATGTAGGCAGAATGAGGCCTACTAAGTGTTCCAGCAGTAGTAATACCTGCCAGTTGGAGCATGAATATGTATTCGTCAGCTCACTGAGCATTTTTTAAAACTGCTCAGAAAATCTCAGACATCACAGAATTCCTGAGAAACAGGTGGTATCACACCTGTTGCACAGGTGAGGCAACTGAGGCTCAGGTGGGCTGGATTATTTGCCTGAGGTTCACAAGAAGCACCTGTGCTAGGATTTGAGGCCAGGTGTGCCTGACTCCAGGTGCACTTCCTTTAAGCAGGAAGTCTGCTGCTTCCTCGCCAGATGGCGACTGCCATGCCCCCCAGCTTAATGAGGCCGGACTGCAGCGCGCAACATGGTGCCGAGGACTCTGAGGGCCCAGACATGGGTTGGAGTCCTGTCCTTCTACTTCCAGCAGTAGAAACCTGGGCAAATCATTTGATTTCTCTGAGCCTCACTTTCCACACTTACAAAAGAAGCCCCCACATAATTGTGTGTGGGAAGAGAAAGGGAGAAGCTGAAAAGCAAAAGAAGTCATCTAAGTCACCAGGTAGAGTTGGGGCAACTAAATGAGAGGGGTGACTTTGGGCAAGAAAGTTTGGAATTTGATTGTGGAAATCCTAAGTTTGAATGCCTTGGGGATGTCCAAGCAGCCTTGTCAGTAGAGCTGCACTGTGGGCAGTGAGTGTAGTGATGCATAGACAGCACAGGGCCTGGCAAAGACCCTGTGCTGGGTAAATGCTTTTATTAACTGTGATAAGTAGGATAGGATTGCTTTTATGGCATCAGCACTCATTTGGATGAGTAAGCTTTGTGAAATGTGTTTGGTAACATTTGGTCCCTTTCAGCTCGGGATGAAGCTCAGTGGTACAGCACTAAGCTGGCATGTGTGAGGTACTGCACTGGGTTCCATCCCCAGCACTGCAAAACAAAAGAAGAAGAAAGAAATTACTTTTTTTTTTTTTTTTTGCTAAGTTTTGCAGCGTATTGAGGAACCGGAATGAGATAGCTCAGCAGACCTTCCTATCAAAGCCTGAAGCCCCTGCTGTTAACAGAAACAGTTTTCTATCTTGATGTTATATTTCTGTTGTGTGAATGTGTTTTAGAAAAAAATATGTGACCGCACTCTATCACTGTGCTCAGTGGTACAGTGTCTAAGTTTTGTTGTTAGAAATCCTGCCTTCCAGAAGACAGAAATTGAGCCAGATAAGGTTCTCATGAGGTGTGAATGCAGGCCCTCCCTCAGTGGGACACAGCGCATGGAAGCAAACCAGACTCGAAAGGCTTTCATGCACTTGGAGCAATTTAACTTAATTTGTTTAAAAGGTATTTTGTCTTCACCGGGTAGAGTGTCTTTTGTTAATGTTTGAATCTGTATTTGAATCCAGGCTAGCGAACTCTCTTTCAACACTGCAGGGTACTAAATGATTCCTCTCAGACATTTATGTAGTGTAGTCCTCTGTGGAAGAGACTAAAATTCACGCTTTTATTACTCTTCCTAATTAGAATGCTAAGTTGTGAGAGATGGTTTCCTTTTTAAAAGCAAGTGAGTTATTCAGGGTTCCCTGTGTTCAGGGGGGAAAAAAGTTGTCTCCCAAATACGGAGATTTGGTTGAGCAGAGCTCAGCATACTTTGAGTTTTCCTCTGAGTTTAATGGGCCTTTGAGATGATCCCAACTGCAGATTAGTCCTGTTTGGACAGAAATTTAGAAGCAATCAGGAACCTGCTGTGAGATGGAAACCAGGCTGCTTACTCCTTGCTCAGGAATATACCAGCACGTTGGCGTCCATTGTTGAACAAGGTTTCATTTTTTGAACAAGGACCACGTGCCAGGCTCGGCTCTAGGTTCTGAGAAACGGCTTGTTCCTGCCACACAACTTGAGAAAGACCAATATGTAAACAAATAAACACAGTAATTGTAGTGATAAGTGCTTCAGGGAAGTACATGAGGTGCTGCGACACACACAGAATAACTCGGAAGGCGACAGTGGTGGTTTTTAAGGCCCTCAGAAGTGGTAGCATTTAGTGAAGACATGAATGGTTGAAGTCCCAGCCAGCATCGAGCCAGGCGATGGGTGTTCTGGGAGACGGCCGAGCCGAGCTGGGAAAGAGCTCAGCATGTGCTCTGAAGTCACTGAGGTGACGGGACACTGCAGAGAAAATGTAAGGAGCTGTGGCCTCAGAGACTTACTTGTTTTGACTCTGTTGTGTGCTGTGGGCCCTGAAAGAGAGATTTCTCAAAAAAACAATTTATTTCATCTTACTTTTTGTGTTTGAGTTATTTTTAATATTGTCATGTAAATATTTCATATGTTACTTGTAGTGAAATAGATCGCAATGTCACTTCCTAATTCAGAGTAGGGTATGTGGGGGAAGATGTACAATCCTTTGATTAAAATTATTTCTCACTGAACTAAATTTTGTTTCATGGAAAAAAAATAAATATTCTATACCAACGGGGGGCAAGAAAAACCATAGAGGTAGGCGAGTGATAGATGACAGGTAATACCAGGAAGTTTAGATCTCAGTCCAGGTGCTGTGGGGAATCGCTGAAGGGCCTTCAGCAAGGGAATGATGCAGCCTTAATAACGTTTTATGAAACCACTGTGCCTGCTCGTGGGAAGTGGATTCCAGAAGGGTGAGAAGCGTGGAAACCGTTTGAGAGGTGCTTGCAGTAGTTCAGACGGAACATGACACTGTTTGACCGCACTAGTGGCAGCGGTGATGGAGAGGTGGGTAGATTCAAGTGGTTGGTAGGAATAAGAGGACTTGTAGCAGACAGATGTGGAGGATCAGAGACGGGAAGAAAGTCAGGGTACCTCCCGGAAGTTTGAGGAGCGAGGTGATGGGCTGGATGGCTCTGTGAGGGCCAATCCGGGTGCAGTTTTGAAGACCGAAATGCTACCTGCTGTGGAGCTCCGAGGAGAGGTCTGGGCTGGAGAGAAATGTTGGTGTCAGGAGCACATTGGTTGGTAGGTTGTATTCAAGACCATGTGCCACTGAAGACAGAGCATAAGAAGAGGGTCTTGAGTTTGGACAGAAAAGAAAGCACTAGAAAATGATATGAAAGTAGAGAATCCAGGAAGAGACCAAGAGAGCATGGAAAGGCCACAGAAGCTGAGGGAGGGAGATACTCAGGGAGGAAGGCTTGGTGGGTGTCGCGTGCCTTGGAGGAGCCCAGGATAGTGAGGACAGCGTGTGTCCTGCAGCCATCAGCTTGGCAGCCTGGCGGTTGCTGGTGCCTCTGACGGGGGTGCTGTCAGAGAGGTGGAGACAGAACCCAGGCTGAAGTGGGGTTAGGAATAAATGGGAGTTGAAAAGGTGGATACAGTGTGGGCAACAGACAAAGAAAACTTGATTGAGAGGATTCACTGCGAAGGAAAGCAGAGAAACAACAGCTGGATGACGGATGTAATGAGAACTGGGCTCGGGGGTCGGTGTTTTGGGTTTTGTTCGTTCTCTTGATGTTGCCTATGTACATGGCCAAGGAGATGCTGAGCGGGAGAGGGGCGAGAGAGAGAGAGCAGTGTCCGGGAGAGGGCAGGAGTGGGTTTGCAGCCTGGGTCCTCTCGCTGCTGCCATCTTCGCCGGGAGCTGCGGTTGCTCCCGAGTAGGGCTGCTCTCCTGCGCTCAGTGCCGCGGGAGCGCTTCTTACACTCTTCCAGTGTGGGCTCGCTTGTGGTAGAAGGTGGTGTCACCTTGCGGGATGAGCAGAGGGGAAGAGAGGGGCGTCACACTGAAGAGAACTCGTCAGCGGAACAGACTGGAGCTGTGCACACTGCTCCTCTGACCGGAAGGCAGCTTTTCCATGGAGTGCGTGCCGAGTGGAGAACTGCAGGCCAGGGTCCAGTGATGCAAGTGAGCAGCAGTCACAGCAGGGGGAGTCAGCAAGCTGTGGCGACAGGACAGGGACCCTGCCGTGCCGGAGAATAGGACGTGGGGTCTCCTGGCCTGGTGTTCGCAGACCTGGGCTGAGGAGGGCAGCAGTGCAGTGGAGCGGGAGTGCAGGATCTTAGGCGCTGTGAGGGAAGGCCCGACAGCATCTACGCGCAGAGTGGAAGGGCACCCAAGCTTCCTAAACTAGGGAACTTCTTGTGACTCAGAAACACACACCTTGTCCAAGGAGCGATCTGGAATGAGGGCCACGGAGCTTTGTAAAAATGTTAAGAAGTCAGTGCTGGGGCCGCAGCTAGCTTCGCAGCTGAGCGGTGTCTGGAGGCAAAGGGGCGGGCCACCGTGGTGGGAGGGGGCTCGGCCATGGTGTCACAGTGAACCCTACAGCTCAGCACTGGGGGGGCGACAGAGAACCCATTCCGAGGGGCCTTTCTTGGCATGGAATTTATTTATACTTTTTTATTATTTTAATATGCTTTTGTTGTAGAATCTTGGAAAATGAATTTATTTGGCCCATCCAAACACGCAGGTTTGATGGATTACTTTTGAATTTAAAAGAGGGGGAACCTACATAGACAAATAAAATCCAGCATTGTCTTCTCATTCTATTCTAAGTGCCGTAAATAAAATTTGAGAACAGAGGGTCTGAGCTTTACTCTGTAAGATGTGAAATGTGATTGTTTCTTATTTCCAGCTATCTATCCATCTTGGGATTTTTGCTGCCTCAGGGCTTGCGGCTTCTGATCTGGAGGGGCTTTCAGGGGCAGGGACAGGCCCCAGGACAGGGTCAGCCCCTCCGTCCCACCACTGAGTCCCCGCTTCCCGTCTTCTGCTGCAGCAAATCTCACAGCACTCAGGCAGGATTGGGAGTTGTGTGGGGAAGGAAGAGACTTACAGTCCAGGACCTGGAGGGAGGAGGAGGGGCAGAGCCTAGGTTTCAGCTCTCGCCCTTGAGCTGTAAATTCTCAAGGACTGTCTATAAATCTCCTGGAGTCCAAATTAGAAATCCATGTTCCGTTGGAGAGCTCTGGGGGGGTTTCCCACAGTCATTCTTGAAGCACCCCCAACCACCACCCTGTCTTTGACACTTTGTATGGAAAACTTCAGAATAAAACTGCAGAGTAAATCTCCATCTTAAAAGTATTGTTCTTATTTAGTACAAAAGAAATTCGATTCAGCTGGTGGATCTACAACTTTTCTCCTGTATGTGCACAAAGACACATGTAAACACGGGAGGGGACCCCCTCAGATGCCCTGGGACTCTGACTGCTCTCAGGTGGACAGGGGACCAGCCATGTGCTTCAGGACCAGGCTTGCCACCCCTAGGGCTGGGTGGCTCACTGGACAGCGAGGCAGGTACTGCTTACCTTGACTCCTCCTGCCTTAAAAAGACCCTGCTGCCTCAAGGATTTTCTCCAAGTTGTCCTCTTTCTCTCCCTCCAGAGGGCCAGCTGAGAGTGGATGCAAATATATCCGTGCATCACCCTGGGGAGCCACTTGGCATCCGAACAGAAGTGAAGAATCTCAACAGCATCAGGTTCTTGGCCAGAGCCATAGGTGAATGTCCACTGCTTGCTCCTGCTCTTCCTGTCAGTCATCACTTGCTGGTAACAATCTGCCTCCCTGAATTCACTGGCTGATAGAGTAACTACTTTGGGTTTGCCAGCGCTGTGGACTGGGTGGCTCTTTTGCTGGTACTGCCTCTGCTCCCTCTGCAGCTGTGGGAAGCTGACAGGCAGAGAAGGTCTTGTTCACATGCGCTCCTGTCCTTAAGGCTTCCCTGCCCACGTGGGCCTTGCCCCGTCCCCTGCCTCAGCCAGGCTTCTTATCTGCTGGTGAGCGCATCCAGGAGAAAGGGGACAGAAGCCTCACGCCTCCCTGAGTCCTAATCTGCACAACTCACATGCTGTCACCTCTAGCACATCCTGTTCAAAGCAGACTAAATTCAAAGCAGACTCAAGGGGAGAGAAATGGACTCTAGCTCTTCATGGGAGGATTCACAAAATGTTACTTCTGTGTTTTGCCATGTGCCACATTCCGTATAAAGTCAAGTTTGTTCGGTTTGTGGCTTGAACTTGATGAAGTCATATTTGTTTGTTTTAAGTTGGCCATAGCATGGCCCAATTGGTCAGTATGTTTTTCTGCTTTGTACTCTTTGCAGCTAAGAGATTGTATGTGCCTGTGCTATCGGAATCAGTCTTATTGGAGCCCCATACTGTGTTCATGGATGACAAATACATAATTAAAGTAGAACAGGTTAGCAGGATAAATATCTGAGCAGTCCCATTGACACTGATAACTGAATCCAAGGGGAGGTCATCTCAGGTATAAAAACATTTAAAAAAAACAACAAAAAAAAGATGCCTAGAGAGAAAAGAGGAGGCAGAGATGGAGTTTAAAGTGCATCCCTTCAAGAGTGTACAAAGAATTTGATGGCTGAATATGCTGGCAGAACACTAGTCAGAATGTTTAGTAGAATCCTGGGTATTGCCAAGAGTAGTTCTAGAAACAATATGGAAAAGATGATTCTAGTCTGGTATAAAATCTCTTTATCCTGCACCCGAAACGATCAACCTCAGTGAAGACACTTGGGAGTCTACAGATGTCCAGGAAAACACCGTAAAATGGTCAGGGAGATCATTTCTGGGAAGGGGAAAAGAGGAAGTTGCCTTATAAAGACGGACTAAAGAGGGTGACTCTTCTGTCTCTGGCAGAAAATGCTGCCCACACTTCTGAAACCATGAAGTTGTGAATCTGGGACTCAGGCTGGTGACCCGTGTGTGAGGGGCAGCTTGGAACAGAAAGATGAAAGTTTCCTTTCACCTCAGATACAGTGGTGTTCAGGACCCATCATTCTAGGGTACAAGGGTAACCTAGAAAAAGGATGAGCCAGCAGATTTTAAGCAGACTGACCTGCAGTGAGTTAACATTTTTGGCAGCCCTAACATCCATCCTGTGAAGTTGCCTTTGGAGCACCAGTCCGAGTTCTACCTGTGGTCTCTGACTCAGCCAGGAGCGACCAGTGCTTCGACATCTTGGGCTTAATTCTCCAAGGGGATCATTTTTCCACCCGCTCTTTCGCCTTATGTTGGACCTTGTTGCCATCATCTCATGTCAGAGCTTTGGAGTAGGGGAGAGAGGGCAAAAGTGGACATGTTTGGTGTTACCACTTCTCAGCTGTTTAGATCAAAGAGCTTGGATTTGAGCTAAACATCCACATTTCATATATAATTTCAGGGGTAGCAGAGTCCTTTGCAGCCCATCTGGAGATCCCAGGGTAAGGATCCCTGCTGGCAACAGTCCTAGATCTGCAGTCATCAGACCCACGTACAGGTCCTAACCTGGGGTCTACCAAGTTGTGTAATCTATCATGTTGCTTAATCTCTCCAAACCTGAGTTTTCTCCAAAAAACTAGGGCCATTTCCAGCATCAGTGTGTCTGTGATGGCAGTGAGAAGAAAATACAGCCTGCAAGGGAAGGATTATTCTACACAATCTTCTTGATTATTCTTTGACTTTAAGATTGAGAAAGGTTTCTAATTATTGCCTGAATTGATTAGAGGTATAATCAAAGTGTGGTACTGAATTATTGTGTTTCTCATAGACTATGAAATTCAGAGGCAGATCAATGAACTTGAGCATGGAGGTGAAATTCTGAATGAAACTCGCTCGTTTGATTCCAAGCTGGGGTGAGTTTGTATTCCTAACCGCCTTGAATACAGTGAGTGGGCACAGGGGGCCTGGGCTTGGCCCCAGACCAGCGGTGAAGCTAGAAGGGCTCCTGAGCTTCTTGCACATGGCTTTCCTCGATAGCAACCAAAGAGCACTGTAGCCCACAGGGCTACAATACGCCCTCTTGGCGCCTAGGTGTAAACAGACCCAGACTTGTTCAGAAGTGCTTGGCTGTCATCCTAGACCTCCAGCTTGCCTGCTTTGTAGCAAGAATTTTTACTTTCAAGTAATCTCTCAGAGCTATACCAGCTTAGGCTAGAGGTAGATACAGCTGAAACTCAGTTATAGAGATGCTTGCTTGTTAGTTTGTTTCGAGCTAGCTTTGACCCTGATTTTCCAACTCATTTCTGAGGATTTTATTCCTTAAGCAGAATATTACTGAAAACTCCAAAGTGTAGAAGCTTGAGCTGACTAAAGGCTGAAAACTTGGCTGGGATGTAACTCAGTGAAGAGCGCTTGCCTAGCACATGTGAGGCCTGGGTTCCATCTCCCAATACCACAAAAACATTTTTTTTTTAATGGGGAAACAGTAAAGTGATTTCTTTTATTGCTCTTCTTTTTCTTATATTGTATTTATATATCACCTATGGAAGGTTGAAGACCTTGAATTTGCCTGTGTCCCTTATTGGTAGAGAAAACCCTTTTTAATCAGCTTTCCATTATAGTGACAGACATCTTGGATAAACAACATACAAAGAGAAAAGGTTCGTTTGGCCTCACACACAGTGTTAGTGGTCTCAGTCTGATTACTTGACCTGCTGGTTTGGGCCTGTGATGGTACAGCATGGCAGGGAAGCGGGAGAGAGAGACCAGGGTCCCACATCCCCCTTCAAGCTCGAACCTCCAGCAACCCACGCGCCTCCCATCAGCCCCACCTCGTAAAGTTACACCACCTCCCAGTAGCACCTTGAGGAAAGACTCCAGATCCAAACTCTAGCGAACCCCTTCTCTGCCTGTAGGCTGGCCAGCAGTATGAGCAACATCTGCTTAATGTTTTCTTCTGTAACTATTACAGCTGCACCATGCCAATGAGAGACAAGGAAGGAAGACAGGACTACAGGTGATCCCTTCTCGTGTCAAAATGTCATTACCTACTGTGGGTTATAGGCATATTTCAAATCCATTTAAAGATGATAATGATCCTGGAGACCTCTTAGGAACCACTTTTTATTGTTATGTGATGGGAAATTGAGACTTCCTGTTTTGTGTGCACACTGGGGTTTGTTAGCCCCAGAATCCCTTGTTTGATGGGATTCAACTCTTGCAGACACTTGTTCACTCACTTCGGTGTCAAAGTTGTAGTTGAGCTAAGAGGATGTCAGTTGAGGTCGGTGCCCTGGCCTTTCTTGTTCTTGCATTCTGCAGCAATTCTGTAATGCATGGAAGTCCCCCAAGAGGAAATGAAAAGCATGTATGTATATGTCAGAGGCGGTTCCCTCAGACCTGAGGGGATGCTACTTCCCTGACAAAGTAATCAAGTTGGAATCAACAGGGAACCTGCGAATAAAGCCATTAGTAAGGACGGGCTTGAGATAAGTGGAACCTTTTGCTTTGTCCACTGAGTTTAGCACATTGCAAAGATGGAAGCCTTAAGCAGTGAAGTTGTTGAGATGAGCCCACTTTTCCTCTGCAAGTGCAGGAGCTGTTCATGCAGCTGTTGCTGTCAGTAAGGAGCACATGTAGCCCTCATCCCAAGAACTCCTGTCCTGTCTGTGTCAAAGTCAGGGTTAATTACTGTGCGCTTCTAGGTTCAGGCTGTGTCTCGGAAGAACTCCCTTTGTTCCTCAGTGTCGCTTCCTACTGTATTTTTGCTGCTTTCTCCTGGAGCATGGAGTTTGCCTTTTAATTCAGCCAATGGCTTCTGCTCCGTCCTTCAAGTTGGTGGTTTGAGGAAGGCTCCTTTTGGTTTCCTCTTATCAGAAGTCAGACTGCTTTATGGCAGAGATTTGGCAATGAGTTGATAAATTGCTTGCCCTCCTAGTCTATTACCTTCAAATCACTTTTTGTTCTCTATTATCCTGCTTCTACAGAAGCCCATTGACAATTATGGGCAGAGAGAAGATGTTACTGCCAGAATAGAAGGGAGGGAGACATGTTTCATAAGATACATGGGGTGGTACAGCTTCCATGTATAAAGACTTCTTGAAGTCTTTATTCTTTAGAACGGTTTTAGATTTACAGCAAAACTGATTGGAAAATAGAGTTCTGATATACTCACTCCTGTCCAACAGCATCTTTTGTTAACATCTTGAATTTGTGCGGTCTTTTTGTTATAATAATGAGCTGGTACTGGCGGCTCGTTATTCACTAAAGCCCATAGTTCACATTAGGGTCCACGCTTTGTGTCATACTCCTGTGGGTTTCGGATATGTGCAGTAACACACACCCACCGTGACGGTGTCACAGAATTGTCTCACTCCCCTAAAAATGCCCCGTGCCCCACCTGCTCATGCCTTCCTCCCAGTTTCCACGTTTTGTTTAGGCAAAATCTGTACATGCTTATACCTCCCAAGAAGAAAAGTGCGGATTTTTTTATTTGACTTTTTGTGGTTTTTTTTTTTTTTTTTTTGGTACCAGGGATCGAACTTGGGACCTCGCGCTTGCAAGGCAGGCACCAGAACCACTGAGCTAAATCCCCAGCTTATTTGACTTTTCTTTGTTGTTATACAAACCTCTCCGAAAAGTAGGAATTAAAAAACAGGGGAAAGTCCCTTTTCTCCCTAACATATACATTGTTCTCATTTGGTCCTATGGTTTGCAGCCGATGTCTTTGTGAATCTGTACTTTACCCGCGGTTGGAAATCAGCATGTGGTTTAGCCCTGTATTGTACTTACTTCACTCACCACCGCTTTATAAGCGTGGGAAATGGCAGGCTTGGTGACTTGGGCACTTTGCGAGCCCTGTACACACAGACTTTCCTGGGAATGAGGGAAAATTGATATAACAGGACATTGGAAAACATTTGCAGGTAACAGAGCATCTAAGCACAGAAACATTTGTATCAGAGGTAGATGTGTGATTCTGATCCGCCCAGGTCCTCCGGACTCAGGTCCTGTCTGCTCTCTGCCTAGGTTTATGCCAGAGCCCAACCTGCCTCCCCTGGTGCTGTACGACACAGCGTCTCTGCCCGCAGGTGCACAGTCTCAGCAGGTGATCAACATCGACCAGATTCGGGACGCGCTGCCCGAGCTCCCCAGCGTGACTCGAGAGCGGCTGGTGCAGCGGTACGGGATGCTGCCGGAGCACAGCTTCACGCTGCTGGTGGGTACCAACTGGGCGGGGAAGGGGTGCAGCTCCTCGGGCCTCAACCATACAGGGGCCCACACATGCACTTGGCAGAGGAGGGGCAGATTTCTTCCCACTACCATAGAGGTCTCAGAGAAGAATGAGGCATAGTAACGCTTTGCAGTGCAGACGAGGAGACACCGCTTCACGTTGGCTATTTCTCTGGTGTAGAAATGATGAACAGCTGCGCACAGCAGCCATGGAGCCCGGAGGTCAGTCTAGATGTTATGGATGAGTGTTTCCCATGTGTCTGCAGGACAGAAGAAAATCAGTGTATGGGTTTCTACATGTCTGACAGTATCCAGCCATGATGACAGGGTCTGGCAGGGTGTTAGGTTCTCCAAAGCTGCTCAGCTGTTTCACCATGTGTGGAAGCAAACATCTCTTCAGACGATGCTGAAAACTCTGACTAAAAGTGTCAGTCCTTTGAACTTGACAATGCATCTGACGGAGCCATTAGAGAACCTGACTCCATTGAAATCTGCTTAGGGATTTTCCGTCCTTTTCAAAGCTAGGCTTTGTGGGTTTCTTTGTCATAGCAACATTAAAGTGGTGCCACACCAGTGAGTGTAGCATTTGGTCGCAGTTGTCGTCTTGCCTGTGAAGGGAGGAAGTGGAAAGCTTTGCAGCTATAGCTCAGGGAGTAGGTATAGGCCCCAGCCATCTTTTTGAGCAGCAGAATCTGTGAGAACAAGAGTTTTGCTTTTTATGTGACCAAGAATAGCTATATAAGGATGGACATGCATATTAACTATGTTTATGCACTTCAGTAACAGGAACCCAGCAGTTTGCAGTAAGGTGAGCAGCTTACTGTGGGTTGATGAATGAGGAGAAGCATCCAGAGCACCTCACAGGAAAACTCTTCTTTTTCTGCCAGTCCCTTATTTTTTTAAAACTTTAGCCAGACTTGATCACCACTTCCTATGGGCTGCCACTGTGTCTCATTGGTACATCTTTGGCAGTTCTGTCACTGCACTGTCATGGCAATAGTGTATTAGTGTTTCTTGCTCAGCGTCTTGAGGGCAGCACTGTTTCTGTCACTCAACACAGATGAGCACATCAGTATTCTTTTTTTATTTTTTTAAAATTCTTTTATTGGTACATTTTAGGTATACAGTATGTTTACATTTATCATTGGGTGCTTGTACCTGTACATGATGCATCTTGGTTCTTATTTTTTCCCCATTCCCTGTGCTCCCTTCCCTGTTTACATAGATTTCGTTTCCATTTTTTTTCTTTTCTCATAATATTTCCTTTCCCTTCTTTCCTTTCCCCTTCCCCTCCCACCTCCCCTACCCTTTTGGACCTTTTCTTCCTATTTCAAATGATCAATTATTTGTTTTAATCATTTTAATCCTTATTTACACTTTCAGTTTCTCACACTAGAGAAACTATTCGGTATTTACACACGTGTGTCCTATTTATTTCACTTAAGAGTATGACCTCGATCTGCATCCATTTAGCTATAAATGTCTCTAGTTTCTCATTCTTTATGGCTAAGTAGTACTCCATTTTATAAAAAACCCACATCTTCTTTATCCAGTTTCCAGTTGATGGGCACTTGGGCTGTTTCCAAGCTTTAGCTATTACAAACTGTGCCTCTATGAACATGGGTGCACATATATCGCTGTGGTATGATTCTTTTAAGTCTTTTGGGAAGATACCCAGCAGGGGAAGAGCTGGGTCGAATGGGACCTCTAGGCCCAGTTCTTTGAGGTATCTCCTTACTGACTTCCACAGTGGTTGCACCAGTCTACACTCCCACCAACAATGGAGAAGGGTTCCTTTCTCCCCACAGCCCCGCCAGCATTTGTTATTTGTTGATGTCTTGATAGCAGCCATTCTTTGTGGGGTGAGGTGGAATCTGAGTGTTGTTTTCATCTGCATCTCTCGAATGACCAGTGATGTTGAACATTTTTCATATGTTTATTTGCTACTTCTACTTCTTTGTCTGAGAAATGTCTATTCATTTCAGATGCCCATTTTTGAATTGGGTCTTTGAATTTGGGGGGTCTGATTTTTTTCAATTCTTTATATATTCTAGATAGTAGACCTTTGTCTGAGATACAACTGCTAAAAATTTTTTCCCACATTGTAGGTTGTCTCTTAGCTCTATTGGTGGTTTTTCTTGCAGTGCAGAAGCTTTTTAATAAGATGAGATCCCAGTTGTTGATTCTTTGTGCTAGTTCCCGTGCTACTGAGGTTTTGTTCATAAAGTCTTTTCCTATGTCATTGTCTTCAAGAGTTCTACCTATGTTCCAGCAAGTTTAGTGTTTCTGTCTTAATATTTAGATCTTTAATCCACTTTGATCTTAGTTTAGTGCATGGTGATAGGTATGGGTCTAGTTTTAATCTTTGGCAGGTTGGAATCCAGTTTTTCCAACACCATTTATTAAAGAGGCTATCTTTCCTCCATTGAGGGTGTTTGGCTCCTTTGTCAAAGATGAGGTGGCTGAGTGTGTCTGAAGTTGTTTCTGCATCTTCTAATCTATTCCACTCATCCTCGGGTCTGTTTCTTTGCCAGTACCATGCTGTTTCTATCACAGGAGCTTTGTAGTACAGTTTCAAGTTGGGAATTGTGATACTCGCTGCCATGTCTCAGTTGCCTAGAATTGCTTTTGCTCTTCTAGGTCTCTTCTGGTTCCAAATGAATTTTTGGATTGTTTTCTGTAGATCTGTGAAGTATATTGTTGGAATTTCAATTGGCATTGCATTGAATCTATATAGTAGTTTTGGAAGTATGGCCATTTTCACTATATTGGTTCTTCCTACCCTGGAACAAGGGATGGCTTCCCATTTTCTTGTGTCCTGCTCAATCTCCTTTGTCAGAGGAGCACGTCAGTATTCCTAATGCCAGCTCTCAGGCCATAGGAACTGATCACTCAGCGTCCTGGACAGCACAGCCCTTGAGCCTCTTCCACGTCGTGCGCTTTTCCGGGGCTGATAGAACAAAGCTGAGTTTCGGTCTGACACATCTTCCCTACCGTCTTCCCACTGGAATTTCCTCCCCACTTGGGGGAGGTGCTGAACCCCAGACCTGCGCTTCCTTTTTGTTGGCCAACTTAGCTAGGGATGGCAAGATGGGGCCTAAGACTGCTCAGCCTCACAGAAACTTACTTCTTTCCACTGGGCCTTTGGCCAGCTGGGCAAAAGACAGTACTTTGAGGTAGTGTGTGATGAACCAAGGTTTCTTGGCCATTTCCTTCTGCAAGACTGACTTGAGAGATGAAGCCGCTAAATATAATGTTCGAAATCCTTCTTATATGCCCTCCTTCTCTGCAAGAGAAGAGAAAGGACCATTTCAGATCGCTCTCAAGAACACAGCCCTTTCAGTGTCTGAAAATATTTGCGTCCTCAGAGAACGTCTGTGTGAGACTGTCGCACCCTAGGCCATGGCGGGCACGTGCTGGGCCGGCATCTCTCACCGTTGCCTTTGTGTCCCTGTCATCGTTCCTGTGTCCTTTGTGGGGCCACAACCCAGGAGGCTTTGAGCAAGTGTCTGTTAGGGTTTTAATAGTTTCTTCAGGAAAACCTACCTTTGATAGTGTGGTTCAGCGCTTTCACCAGCCTCTCCCATGTAGCAGGTATTGAGACTGAGACAGGTTTTGGGGTTTTCTTTTTAAGTTTTGGGGGGTTTTGGGGGGTTTTTTGCCTCCCTAGAGTTTGTGTACATAGGTGATACCCATAGGGAGGATTATCATAGAGGTGGGATGGGACCCCAGAAGAGGTGGCACTTGACTCTGAAGGGCCAACAGAAGAGGGCTTCAAGAAGGAAGTAATGTTTTAAACTATCTTTCTTAAAAGATTTACTTTTTGGTATCTTAAATAGATGCTTATTTTTATAGGTTACAGATAACGTATTAGGTAATCAGTTTTTTAAAAAACCAAAAGGACTAGAACTTGAAATTTCCGAGATAAATGAGATTAGAACAAGATAGGAATGAGCAGAGAATGATTTAGACAAATTGTTTTCCCGAAATTAGGCAGCCTGAGCCCGTTATGATTCCGTAATCACTGGGAGCTGAGTTACTCATAACATTCCTGAAAATGATATGTTCGTGTTTTTCCCTGCCTTCATCAGAAACACAGCAGATTGCTGAGAAGGGCAGATGCACAAATCTAATGAACCATCTTTCAATTTCAAGAGTGCCCAGGAGGATTCATTAAGTAAATAGCAGCAGTGGAGGTGTGCTCCGCAGAGCGGGCTCCTGCTCCACGCCTCCGGCTTGCCTACTTAATTAAGCAGTGGCCACAGACCCGCCCCGCACACATGCCTTCCTCACAGAAAGCACACACTTCAGGACAAGTTCACCTTTGTCTAGGCATTGTGTTGTGCAGCAGGCAGCGAATCATGTATTGTCAGCATGGTTTTTGATATTTAAAGAACCCTGACGGTTAGTTCTTAGCATCAGGCACATAGTAGGCCCTCAGTGATCAGAGGGACAGATGAGTGAAGGGGAGAAAACTGGAAGTTTGTTTGGTTTGGGTTTGGGTTTTTGTCTACTGGGGACTGAATTCAGGGCCTTGCACAGGCCGGTGCTAGGCAGGTGCTCCACCACTGAGCTCCATTCCCAGCCTACTTAACTTTGTAAGACGGGGACTTGCTGAGTTGTGCAGGTTGGCCTCAAACTCGGGATGCTCCTGCCTCAGCCTCCAAAGGGCTGGGATGACAGGCCTGCGCTACTGGACCTGGCTAAAGACGAAAAACAAAAAATCTGTATTGCTGTTTTCTTTTTTAATTTTTTTTTTTCTGGTCACATAAATATCTTTCCCTGTCTAAGATTTTAACCTATTTAGCTAATCTGTCTTTCCTGTCTAATGTCAAATTGCCTTGTTTTCTGACCTCATTTGTAAAGATCAAGGAATGGAAATGTGGAAGCTGAGATCCAGGTATTAGGTTCTGAAAAAGGAGAGATTCTGATAGCGTAACGGGTCCACCTCGGAGCTGGTGGGCCGGAAGTGATTACTGGAATGGT